CACCTCCGGGGGGGCCTGCCTCGTGCTCACCTCCGGGGGGGCCTGCCTCGTGCACACCTCCGCCGGGCCCTGCCCTGCGCGCACCTCCGGGGGGCCTGCCTCGTGCTCACCCCCGCGGGGCCTGCCCTGCGCGCACCTCCGGGGGGGCCTGCCTCGTGCTCACCTCCGCGGGGGGCCTGCCTCGTGCGCACCTCCGCCTGGCCCTGCCCTGCGCGCACCTCCGGGGGGCCTGCCTCGTGCTCACCTCCGCGGGGGGCCTGCCCTGCGCGCACCTCCGGGGGGCCTGCCTCGTGCTCACCTCCGCGGGGGGCCTGCCTCGTGCTCACCTCTGCGGGGGGCCTGCCCTGTGCGCACCTCCGCCGGGCCCTGCCCTGCGCGCACCTCCGGGGGGGCCTGCCTCGTGCTCACCTCCGCGGGGGGCCTGCCTCGTGCGCACCTCCGCCGGGCCCTGCCCTGCGCGCACCTCCGGCTGCGCTGCTGCGGTCGCCCCGCGTCCTGACCCGACTCGCAGCGCTTCCCTTTCGCGGTCATTTTGACTTGGGGAGCGCCAGAGTTGCGCGGGTTCAGATCCAGTAAGGAAGGCCGTCAGGATGCGCTGCGTGGGCTGCCTGCCTGCCGGACGGCCCTGGACGGCCCGACCTTGCGGACACAGTGGCGAAGGCGGCCTCCCGGACGCGTCCGTTGCAGCGCGCTGGAGCACGGGCGTGATGGGGAGGGGATGCAAGGGCTGCAGCGCATCGTTTGGTGTGCGCATTTACTGCAGCTTCCGCCGTACCTCGAATGCACAGTGAAATTCGATTCAGCCATAAAAGGAGTGAAGTCATGACACTTGCTGGGGAATGCGTGGAACTCGAGGCCGATACGGCTCTCTGTTTTGCGCTGTGTCGCAGTGCTGTACTGGGGATTGCACTCGGGACCCCGAGCGTGCCGGGCCGGCACGCGTGCCAGGAGCTGCCTCCCAGGCTCGAGCCATTGTGCTCAGGGCAGTGAGTCAGATACAGAAAGGTAAGTAGCACCCCGCTTTCGGTGAGAACCCTAGGACGTAAAAGAATGGACGGAAGAGGCACAGGAGAGGGGCTGGGGGCGCCGGGGCAGGGGTCCGACGCCGCGCGGTGCTGCGCTCCTGCATGCGTGGCCGCGACGTGCGCGGCGCCGGCACACACTACACGTCCCTCTGAGCAGCGCACGGAGAACAGGGGCTCTTACTCTTAAACTCTTCAAGAAATTTAAATAGGTCCTTTTCGCTGGTGATCGCGATGCGGGCAGCGTTGGCAAAGGCCGCCGTGCTGGAGCCGGAAGTCACGCCCACGCCCGGCGTCCCTCTTCTCTTTGCATAACCCGCCGCGTTTGGGTGCCACGGTTCTTCTGCGCTGATATCCTGGAACTTTTTTCGGAAGTAGCTTAAAAAGAAAATGTTATTTAAAAATAGCTAAAAGGAGCTATAACACAAAAAGAAAAATGTTAGATTATGAGTTATATATGCTGAATAAATCTATTTTAAATCTTATCCTCACATTCAATACTATTTGAATTTTTTTCTTTCGAGACAAAGTCTTGTTATATAGTTCAGGGTGGACTTGAACTCACTGTGGAAGCCAGGCTGGCCTTGAACTCATGACAATCCTCCTGCCTCAGCCTACTGAGCGCTGGGATCATAGGTGTGCGTCACCATGCCTGGCTCTTACGGTAATGTCCACATACTGGAGCCTTTCTGGAGCTCTTGTAAGGTGCGAAGGCATCTCATGTGGTATCAAATCGATCCCCACAATTGCCCCCCTTTTTTTTTTCCCGGAACCGTCGATTGAACTCAGACCCTTGCGCTTGCCAGGGAAGCGCTTATTCCACTGAGCCATCTCCCCGGCCCCCCACAATTGCCCTTTAAGTGTGATATTATTATTCTTTACTACATTTCATAGATGAGGAAACTGAGGCTGAGACATTTAACAAAGTACTCAATTTGTGTTTTAAAAGCAGGCATTTAATAAATGTCTTTCTGTGTGGTGGCACATGACCATAACCCCAGCACTCAAGGAAGCTGAGGCAGGAAGGTTGCCACAAGTTTGAGGCCAGCTTGAACTACACATGGAGACCCTGATTCAAAAACACCAGAATAATTAAGTAAATGAACGTCTCTCTGAATGACAAGGAAATGAAAAGCAGAATTCTGTGCACCCTCTGTTCCGTCTGGCGGTGAGACCGCACAGCATAGAGGGACTACGTACTGAGGGGCACAAGGATATTTTTACACTGTTGATGGCATTCAGTGTTTTGAATTCTCTATAAGTATGATACCACGAGGCTGTGAAGAAGGACAAGTTGGAAAGATCAGCCAGGTGTGGTGGTGCACGCCAGCAATCCCAGCACTTGGGAGGCGGATGCAGGGGGGTCGTTGTGAGTTCGAGACCAGCCTGGGCTACAAAGTGGGCTCAAGTTCAGCTTGGAACTGCATAGGGAGACCCTGTCTCAAAAAGACAAAAACAAAACAAAATAAAAACAAATTGAATCTCATTGCTACTGCTTTTTCAATAAAATTAATATAAAAAACAAACTGAAAAGATTGATAATATCAAGATTTAGTTTCTGTAGTACAATGATAAAAATAGCTTGAAGAAATCTATTTTTACTTGTATTTGCTGGACTGAGCTTAGCTACGAGAATGTCCTGTGACCCGTATTCTCATGCCTGGCCCTGCCTGCGCTCCAGTCCAAAGGCTTCCATGGGAGGTCGGAACTCGCTGGTCTTTCAGAGCGAGACCTGCTGAGTTGTGGTAGTTCAGCGCGTACAGAAGTCCCTAGTATTCCACACTGGAGTTTGAAACCCACTTAAAATCATCCCCGGAGAAGTTTGATTCTGCTGGGGTTTCCTGGCCTGGAGTAGAAGAGGCTGCACTTGCCTGGAGCCCTAGGCTTACAACGGGGCTTGGGGACAGTCTGAGCTTGGCCTTGCCATTTCAACTCCAGGCAGGGACATTTTGGCACATGACCATTTGCCTAGATACCTTTTCCTGTGTTTTGGGGGAGGTTTACCTAGGCAAGCATTCTACCGCTGAACCAAATCCCCAGCCCCCTTTTTCTAGGTTTTGGTTTAATGGTTTTAATTTATTTTTATATTTTTGAGACAGGGCCTTGCTATGTAGTCCAGGCTGGCCTTGAACGCACTGTGGATCCCAGGCTGGCCTCAACTTCCTGGCCATCCGCCTGCCTCGGCCTCCTGAGTGCTGGGGTCACACGTGGGCGCCATTGCGCCCAGCCCTGTTCCTTTGTTTTGGACCAGAGCCTGTGGAGCAGGGTGTTGGTGAGAGGCGCCCTTGTAAGTGCTTGGGAAGGCTGTCTCGTCTCGGTCCTTGCCACTTACCTCACTATGTCCATTATAGTCTTTCTGGGCAGGGCCGAAGTCTCTATAAGCTTTGATAGGATTTCAAATAATAGGGTGCCTGGGTTGCTGGTTGGGTTTAAACAGGTTTCTTTTTCTGGAACTATGGAAGAGAGTGAAAAAAAATTCAGAATGTCTTCTGAATAAAGCACTTATCAGAAAAAGTAAGAAGACAACATTCTTTTCACTACTGACAATAATAATAATAATAATAATATCAACTCTAGAACTAAAGATATGGTAAAACATTAAAATTTTGTTTTGTTAGGTCATTTTGATTAAGGGGCAAACAGAATAATCATGGAATATAAAAATACTTAGTTCAATGTCTTCTAAGTAAATATATAACCCTTTTAACATGAATTTTAACATCACCCTTTGTAAGCATGAATTACACTTTAAGGACTGTTGTTCCTCAAGGTAAAGGAATTGTCAGTAAACGGATCCTTGGTTTGTAGAACTATTATTGTAATATTTGAAAATGGTGAAATTTTTTCTTTTTCTGTGTGTGTGTGGGAGAGAATCAGGAATTGCACTTACCAGGCAGGCGCTGTGCCTCTGAGCTAGATCCCTGGCCCCAAGTGGTGGCTTTTAAAAAATCCTAATGATGGTTTATAGTCTAGAAATGAGCACATTTTCAAAACTGTATATGGTATCTGAACTTTAGAATGTATTACCATAAAAAACATGATATGCAGGGTGGTTAGACTTTCCAAGGCAGCGGTCGGTCTACTAAGCTTAAAAGTAAACCACAGAAGCTCCACCAGCAGCATTCCTGGAGCTCCTCCCAGCGCGCACGCTAATCTCAAGCGGACTCGAGCTAGAGGCTCCGCCAGCGCCGGGAGGGTTTTTCCAGAGCAATTCATTACCTCTGCTCAGCTCTGCATGAGAGAGGCCATTTTCCCCCCTAAGGAAAAAACTTATTTTCCTCTGTACACAGAATGCTTCTGAAGGTAGAACATATACTTGACAAAGAACTGAACGAGCATAAAAGCAGCCCAGGTTTCCTGCTCCTGTCACTTCTTCCAGCATCCCCTTGAGACCAGAGCACAGCGTCCCCTGAAGGGTCCCTCAGACAACACCAGTACCTGCCTAATATGTGTAAGTTGAAGCGCTAAAACTGCATCAGTTGGCTTCGCAGGTACCACTTTGGAGAAGCAGATTAAGAACAAACCGTGCCGCAGCGTGCTCTGTCCCGACCGCGTCCTGCAGGGAGGCCCGCGCCTACTCACCCACAGCCTGGAGGAAGCGGCTCCTGTCTGTCAGCACCTTCAAGAAGTCCGAGAAGCTCACTTTGCCATCTCCTGCAAAGGAAAGCTCGCCTCAGAGCAGGGATAAGACGGCCTCCTTCGTGAGGAGACTTGGTGAAGTGCGGACCCTGAGGCAGCGCGGGTGCCTGGCATTCACGGTCAGTGCATTCATTTACTGCGTTCTGGTCTTCCTGCAGCGACTTCAGCATCATTACGCTAATCTGCAGGCCGCTGAGAGTGCGGGCAGGATGCAGCGCCCAGCGGGCCGCCTCGCAGTCTCCGACTCCACCCTTTCCAGAGGTTCTCTGGAACCCCCCAACCGTCCCACTCGCACCCCTACTACTTTGGTTATAGCATCTCCAGAGATGCCTCAGGTTTTCACACCTCACGTCCTCTGAGGCTAAAGCGCAGTGAGTGCTGCTGGAAGGGCGTCTGTGTCTTCACGGAAGGGAGAAAAGTGGGGCAGAGTTAGTGGGAGCGCGGGGTGCCTTCGTTCCCGGATGAGCAGCCTGGCGGGCGGCCAGCGGAGGCCAGGGGACAACTGGGGCCGTGCTTTCCACACAGCACGACAGCTTGGGCTACTCGTGCTGGATCAGTACATCCAGTCTGGACGTGCAGCTGTATGTTTTAACATATCAACAAGAATTCTGTGGGATTTAAAATTCACTATTGGTGGGTGTAACCATGGCAGAAAGATCTATACTGATGATTCACATAGGACGAGAGCTTGAATCATCTTTGCTTTTATTTTTTTGTTATTATTTATGTATTTGGTACAGGATCTCGCCACGCAGCTCGGACTCCTAGTGAGCCTCCTGTCTCAGCCACCCTGGTGCTGGGATTACAGGCAAGCGCCATCACACTGGGTCTTGACGGCCGGCTCAGCAAGCCCGGAGGTGGGGGGCTGGGGATCGAGCCCCGGGTCCCTGTGCATGCCTGAGCAGATGCTTAGACCACTGAGCTATCTCGCTGGCCCTGCCATCTCTGAAATTGTTTATGCCTCTGTGTCCGTTATTTCAGCCTTTGTTCAATATGGACATCATAACAGGAAACTTGCATTTGATATTTAGAGGACTGAATCCCTCCTGGTGTCCACAGGAGACAGATTTTTCAAAGGATAGAAATTTCCAGCATGATGTTGATTCCATCACTTGCGCCCGTACTTACTGAGACTCTTAAGGTTAAATGTGCACACAGAGGAGCCCCCTGGCCACAGAGGACCTATCCCAGACCTGCTGCGGATGCCTACAAGCTCAGCCAGCTCTGGGCCCCAAGCACGCTACCTTCTTCCCTGTACGTACATACACATGACAACGTTTATGCGTGAGGCACAATAACAGATTAACAACTAATAAAAGATAAAGCAATTGCAGTGACATATTCTAGTGAGAGTTCACACGTGAAGGTAGCTTCTCTTAAGAGAGTCAAGACATGTTAATATTTTTGCGCTGAGGTTGACTGTGTAACTGAAACCATGAACAATGAAATAGGCAGGTGAGGGCTGCTCTGTACTTTCACTGATGTTTTTAAAACCAAAAGTATATAGTGCAATAGAGGTTTATTTTTTCTGTTTATATAGTTCCCGAGGAAAAAGCATTAGAAGTTGTTTTTTTTTTTTTTTTTTTTTCAGTACCGGGGATCCAACTCGGGACCTTGTGCTTGCCAGGCAGGCGCTTATACCGCTGAACTATATCTCCAGACCCAAAAAGTCTTTCTTAAAAAATGAGAACGCCAAAACACTTACGATCAAGGTCAGCACATTTCAGTTCACTGTAGACTTCGGGCTTGGCCAGCACCATCCCTAATCGAGCCAGAGTGCTCATCATCCCGTTGAGATCGATGCAGCCAGTTTTATCCTTGCTGAAGAAGTTGTAGGCCTCTTGGAAGGCTGGAGAAAGAGAGTTAACAGTGACTATTTAATAGACATCTTTAATGTGGACACCATCCATCCTTTTTTTTTTCTTTCCAGAACCAGGGATTGAACTCAGGCCCTTGTGCTTGCCAGGGAAGCGCTTATTCCTCTGAGCCATCTCCCCGGCCCCACCGTCCATCCTTGAGATTTGCACTGGAGTGAACTAGCTGGCCAAGCAGGAAGCCAAACGTGGCAGGTAAAACGGTTTCCCTGAGTCCTTACCCTGAGCCCTGGAGCCTATGAATGGTGACCGTACATGACGGAAGGGGCCCTGCAGGTGTGGTGCGGTCCCGAGGCCTGGAGCACCTGGGTGGCCCCAATCCAATGTCGTGACCCCTTGTAGAGGTAGAAGCAGGATAAACATGGCACAAGTCAGGGGTTCAGAGCTCTGGAAAGACTCAGCCCCCCCCTGCTGGTACGAAGGTGGGGGGCGGTGTGGTGGGGAGCCTGGCAGCCTTTGGCCCGGGGAAGGAGGCTCCTGCTAGCAGACAGGGAAGAAACTGGGGGTCTCAGTCATTTAACTGCAAGGAACCTAATCACGCCAGAAATCCGAGTGAGATTGCAAGCAGATTCTCCAGAATCTCTAAACAAGAGCCCAGCGTGGCCGACATCTAAATTTCAGCCCTCTGAGACCCAGAGAAGAGAGCAGCCAAGCCTGCCTGGACTGCAGACCTACGAAATTCGAGACAAGGAACTAATACTGACTTTTGCTGTTAAAGGTGTGTCAATTTGTTATGACAGTAAGAGCTGATGCCCCAAGCTTGACCCAAATGTAACATTTTTTGTACAGATCTAACATACTTAGAAGAAATATTTAAAGAAGTAACGAAAGCTGGGGGTAGGGGTGCGGCCACAGAGAAGCTGAGGGGAGGATCACACTGAGGCTGATCTGGTCGGTAATAAGAAGGGGGCTGGGGAGATAGCTCAGTGGCTTAAGGCCTGTCTGGCAAGTGCAAGGTCCTGAGTTCACTCCCCAGCACAAGAAAACAGAGATTCTTCCCTTTCCCCAAAATAAGAGGGCTGTAGCTCAACGGACTGTTCCTGAGAAAAACTGGGCCAGTTAGCCCCGTGTGCCCGAGACACCCCTGTGTGCTCCGGAGACTCTTGCCAAGCTGAGGACAGACAGAAAGCACCGCGTGTGCGTCAGGATCATCAGGGACACCGGGACCGCGCACGCTGCTATTACCTGTAGCAGCCGCTTCCCTCCCAGTATGCCAAGGTAGCTGTGCCTGGACTGCTAGTCATGAGGTGGAGCAAGGCCGGCCATGATGTCACCACCACGTAGTTTATCTGTGAAACCTCCCCGCTGCAGCAGCAGGGTGAGGCACAGAGCCCCCGGGGTCCTGTAGTTCACTGATGCCCCAGTTTGGGAAGTGCGTGTCCAAGCCTCAGTGTCACTGGGCTCAGCCTGGCACTCAGCCCTGCGCACTTGTGATGGCCAGTGTCGTCCCTGGTGGGGTTCTGCTTACTAGGGCTGTTGTGTACACACACACCTGCCTGTGATTTAGCCAGCTGGCACTAGCGGACCCCTGCCTGTTCCTGGGGACCGCCCCTGGTCAGAAGCCGCCGTTATCCCACCCTTCCCCGTCGGTACGGGTAACCCCTTCTTGCTCACAAGCCGTCTGGGTCTTTCCTTCTGTTTCTTAGTAGACTACTCCACTGTGCGGTCACAGAGCCGTGGGCAGCTTGCCTGGCACGCGCACAGCCCTGCAGCCACACCCAGCACCCCACTGCCAGGGGCATGGGCTACAGCCAAATTAGACATACCATCTTTAAAATCAGTGAAAAACAAACCCAGAACAAACCATATTCCAAATGACACCAGAATAAAAGTTATTTCATATCAGAGTCAAGCCTTAGCATCCGAATTTAGAAGTGATTAATTTTATAGAGAAAACGATACCGGTCTCCTAATGTGGAAATGTGAGAGCTCGCTCTTGTAAGCTGTATTTTTTTTTAATTTTATTTATTTATTTATGTGTGTGTGCGTGTGTGTGTGTGTGTGTGTGTGTGTGGCCAGCTCAGCCCACCAGGGGGCGGGGCTGGCTGGCATGTGGTGCTGGGGGATTGAACCGTGGTCCCTGTGCTTTGCTAACCTTGTTCTAAGTAGGTGCTTTAGACCACTGAGCCATCTCACCAGCCCCTTTTTAATTTTTTTTTTTTTTTTTTTTTTTTTTTTTTGGTGGAACCGGGGATTGAACTCAGGCCCTTGCGCTTGCCAGGAAAGCACTTATTCCACTGAGCCATCTCCCTGGCCCTTGAAGCTGTATTTAACACATACTTTCCTGTGGGAGGTCCTGCCTCACCTTCGGTATGTCAGTGCATGAAATAAATAGCGATCTCTATCCTCATAAGTGTCACAGGTAGAGCTGGCCAAATAGCTCAGTGGATTAAAGCACCTAAAGCAGGCGCAGGGGCTGGGGGTTCAATCCCTGGGCCTGCCGTGCCGGCCTCGCCCCGTGGGTGTGGTGGCGCATGCCTGTAATCCCAGCTCTTGGGAGGCTGTAAACAGGAAGACCACTAGAGTCCGATCTAGTAGTGAGACCCTGAGCACCCTGTAGGCCCTTTCCTAAAATACAAAAAAACAAACAACAACAACAACAACAACCCAAAAATAAGTGTCACAGGTAGATTAGATACTATTTTGGAAGGTGACGTGCACTGGGAGAAGAAATAATGTGGAGGGGACATCGGGACGCAGTCATAGTACTGAGGACTCCTGTGCCCGTGCCTTCCTCCCACCAGCATCTGCGTTCCTTGCTGTCCCACAGAGAAACTGTACACCTTTAACTAGAGCCAGCCCCTCTGCTGTGGACCAGCATGCAGCCCTCCCAGGCTCACCTGCGTCGCCCAAGAAAGGTCTCCTTCGTTTCTTCCTGTCTGTACTACCCACGCGTCATTGCGCTGATCATACAGAGGTACTGTTATTTCTCCCTTAAAAAATACCAGCATGTGGGAGGCAGAGGCAGGAGAATTGCTGTGAGTTCAAGGCCAGCCCGGACTACATAGTGAGGCTTCCTCTCAAAAAAACAAAAAACATAAACATTGTGACATCGTATCTCCCAGTAGCACCATTATCTCGCCCACTTGTAATGCAACACATGTATTAATGAGAAATAAAAACCAAATCCAGGTGTAGTGGTGCCCGCCTGTAATCCCAGCACTTGGGAGGCTGAGGCAGGAGGATTGCTGCAAGTTTGAGGCCAGCTGGGATTCACTACACAGTGAACCCAGACCAGCCTGAACGACACAATAAGACTCTGTCTCAAAAACAAAACAAGCAAAATAAAAATTGAAAAAAAAAAAGAATTCAATCTGTTTGGAGTAATGGATGTTTAATTAAAACTTTTCTGTGTGGGTGACACTGGGTGTGAATGCAGGCCTCGGACATGCTAGGCAGGTGCTCTGTCCCTGAGCCACAGGCCAGCTCTAGCCTCACTAGATTCACCAGCGTGGCCTGCGTTTTCTACCCTTCTGCTTCACCCTCCGGAGTACTCAGGAGTACAGACAGCGAAGCGGAGCCTGGCCTCGCGGACGCTTATCTGACACTCTGGGTTAGAATCCAACCCTGCATGGCTTTGTTTTGCTCAGCTTGTTCTGAAAAGTAGTGGAAGGCAAAACATGTGGTTACAGACCCTGGCAGGGAGGCAGCTATGGGGTGGAATCTGGAAAGTCTGCTCACGCTTCAGTTCGGCGTTAAGTAGGGAGCAAGGGTAGCAGCCGAGAGCGAGGCGGCCTTCGGGCGTCTGCGGCGTTCAAAAGCCGCGTGTGGAGTCCACAAGCGAACCTCTCACGGGAAAGCTCACGAGAGGACTCGGCACTTGAGCAGCCACTTTTTCTAGGGTATTACTTGGTGCTGTGACTCTGGGCCTTGCTAGTGCGTGGGGACTGTGGCTCCCAGGCCACTGGGTTCCCAGAGAGTGACAGCCGGTTTACAGTGCGCCTTTCACGTGAGCACCAGCCCGTCTAGACCCTTCTCTTTTCTTTGTTATTTTTATGCGTTTGGTACAGGTCTCACTATGCAGCTCGGACTCGTAGTGATGCTCCTGTGCCAGCCTCCCCAGCTGGGGCTGCAGGCGTGCGCCACCACGCCTGGTCTAGACACCTTCCCTTACCTACCACCTTCCCTGGCTCTTAGGGGCTGGGCCATTCTTTCCCTGCCCCTCTAATCCTCGATCCAGGTGCTAGATCAGTGGGGGTCAGCCCCAAACCGCAGAGGCCACTGAAACTCTTCTGTGCAGATAATCCCAACTGCTCCTGTTTCCCTCTGCAGAGCCGCAGTACAGGCTCTCGTCCATCTCCTTGCCCTCTCAGCTCCTGTCCGACCCTTGTGTTTCGTCGTGTACCTCCGTGTGCCTGGCTGTGCCTTCGGATTTAGGGAGCTGTGAGCAGGAACACACGTCTCCATGAAGATTATGTCTGCGTCCGCGTGTTTCTACATATCTGATTAAAACAAATTTCTTACGGGCTTGCTGTGTATCTCAGTAAGGCTCTGGGTTCAACCCCTTGCATTAAAACCAAGTAAAATAAAACAAAGCAAAGCAAAACAGCTCAACCCCCCCAAATATCACCCAACTAGAAGGCTCTTTAGGAACTTTAAAGCTATTAAAAGCATTTATCTGTTTTGCAATTAAAAATGCAAATCCAAACAAAAACAAGGCAAAAAACAAACAACCCCTCCCCAAATATATTTGATCTTGACAGTCCTTTGTGTTCGCCAAGCCAGCTTCCTTAGAAATAAAGGAGATTTTTTTTTTTTTTTTTTTTTTTTTGGCGGAACCGGGGATTGAACTCAGATCCTTGCGTTTGCCAGTTAAGCACTTATCCTACTGAGCTATCTCCCCAGCCCCAAGGAGATTTTTAAAAACATTTTTTATGGGGCTGGTGAGATGGCTCAGTGGTCTAAAGCACCTACTTGGAACAAGCTTAGCAAAGCACAGGGACCGCGGTTCAATCCCCCAGCAC